TTCAGCTTGGATCAGTCATCTCTCTTTTCACAGAAAGGTGATAAATGTTCTTGACCCACAAGCAACTGGGCAAAAGTCTCAGGATTGCTCATCTTCCTTTCTTCCCTCCTTTTCTCTGCTCCTTCCTTCCTTCGTTGTGTCTTGTCTTCTGTCTTTTTGGATGTGTTACAGGGTACTTGCAGAATCCCTGTAAAGGGATTCATCGTTAACGTATTATAATATATCGTACGTATTTTTATGGTCAATAAATATACCTCTCCACCATCAATTTAAGTAGCTGCTACATAACTATGCCATAATTTATTTAATTAATTTCCTATTGGGGGACATTCCAATTTTTTTCCAACTCCTTTTGCTGTTATAAATCATGCTGGTCAGTGGCCTTGTTAGGATATAAGCAACTGCTACTCAGCGATTCCATGCTTGTCTGTTCACCTATTTACCTCCTCAAAGAATTCTAGTAGCATGGTATTCCCTTTTAAAAGTACACTGTTCAGCATAGTATTTTAATAAAATTACCAACTTTGTTCTAGTATGGTGAGTATAGCGCTTGAAAACTTAGATTTTGCAGTCAGCCTCCCTGAGTTTAAGTCCCATCTCTACCATTTGCTAGCTGTGTGACCTTAGGCAAGATATTTGACCTCTCTGTACTTCAGTTCCTTTACTTATGATATGCGGATAATAATAGTACTTATCTCAGTAAGTTGTTGTGAGGATTGAGAAAATGATGCATTCAAAGGGCACAGGAGGGCATTCTCAACTAATATTAGCTATTGTTAATGATAATAAACTTGCTTTGCCTTTTTATTCACATTATTAAACCTAAATTTCCAAAAAAATATGGCTACAGACAAAACTTCATTTTTTGGCAAGAAATATTGGGAGCAGGAAGAGAAGAGTGCAGTGGTCTCACAGGGGTAACACACGTATTAGGAAATACCATCAATTCTTATTGTGTGGCCAGGTGTCAAAATATATAATATGAAAGATTGCTGAACTAGACTCTGGGCTGCTAGAGGCCTCTCATTAGCAGTCAGATTAGTCACCAAGCATCTACTCGTCACCTCCCATCACCAGGCTACGTGTTCAGACATGCGTAGGTTATCTATGATACTCCCTGTCCATATGAACTGGAACTGAGTGGCATGCATTTATTTTTTCTTCTTCCCCAGGATTCTTTTCTCTTCCTTCTTTTCTCCTAGCAAAAGTAGAAAAAAATTAAAGTTTTTTGTTTACTTGAAACAAAGAACAGACTTCATTGTACTCACTTGACCTCCTTAGAGAGCCTTTTCTGCCAACAGTTCTTCACTGTCCCGCAGGGTTCTGGCAGCTGGGAGACCCCTCAGTGGGAGCAGTGACTAGGTATGAACTTGGGAACTATTTTGGGAGATAGGAAAATGCAGGGAATTTGGGGTCAACTGTTCACTCTTAACTACGAGAGGAGTACATTGAAAACATCTGAATTAAGCATTTTTCTGTATTTTGTTTATTAGAGCAAGTCCTCAGTTGATAAGAAAATAAATTCAACAATAAATCAAATGTATGAAGGAATGACCAGGCATTTTTCTTATCTAAAGAGGCCTGTGGTCTCAAGCACTGAGAAAGAAATTGCATGTCAAAAGGCCTCATCTTTGGGGCTGGCCCAGTGGCGCAGCGGTTAAGTTCGCACATTGTGCTTCTCAGTGGCCTGGAGTTCACCGGCCCAGATCCTAGGTGTGGACATGGCGCCGCTTGGCAAAGAGCCGTGCTGTGATAGGCATCCCATGTATAAATTAGAGGAAGATGGGCATGGATGTTAGCTCAGGGCCAGTCTTCCTCAGCAAAAAGAGGAGGATTGGCGGTGGTTAGCTCAGGGCTGATCTTCCTCAAAAAAAAGGCCTCATCTTTATTCTTAGTTTGTACCAGACTCATTGAGTCCGAGAAAGAGTAATGCAATTCAGTTCCTTCATTTAGGCAGGAGTTCTTAACCCTTTCTTTGGATCATGTCCCTGGTCCTCCTTGTACACTGTACTATTATTGCGCAGGATAAGAGGCGCAATAGAATAGCCAAAGCCCAGTGAGACTGAGCGGTCCATGTGTGGTCACTCCGCTGGTCAGTAGGCTTGGGTCTTACAGTGCTTTCTTGTGAATTAAGATTCCATTTCAGCCCTCCTTCATGGAATGGTTCCTAGAATATATACTTTATGATCAAACTATGCGGAAGAAATTATTTTCTAAAGAAAAAGCAAGAAGGAAGAATTGATTAACCATTGCTTCTAACCTAATATTGTCTGTTAGAAATGTTATGGACACTAGAAACCACAAAACGCTTTTGCTGCAGAGAAGGGTATATCCTAGAACTAATGGTGATTTTCGGAGTTCCAGAATTTCTGATAAGTATTCAGGGAAAATGCAAGTAGGTAAACATTACTATGTTTTTGAAGCCTCACTAAGTGGGAACTGTAGATCCAGGCCTCTTCGTGGGTTACAGAAGAAAGTAGCCACTATGAATACGTCACCTCAATGTCCATGATGAGAGGATCAGTATACCAGTGCTATGGAATATTATATAGCCATTAAAAATGAACTAGGCCTACTATATATGTACTGGCATGGAAGATTGTCTGTGATAAATTTTTTAGAAACATAATGGTGCAGAACACTGTTCCAATTGTGATCTCATTTCTATATAAACAAACCAATCTACAAATGAAAGTATGGAGATAGGATCTGCTTCATTAAGAGCTAGAAGAACATATTTCAACTGTTAACAGTGGATTCCTTGAGATATAGAGAGTGAATAAAGAAGACAGGAATGGTGGCAGGGGAAGAGAGAGAGAAGAGTGTTTACTTTTTAATTTATTCACAGCTGTATTGTTTGGAATTCTTTTCATAAACATACTTTTATAATATTTTATATAGAAACTTTTTAAAAGGTATTTGTATCAGAAATCACTCTCTCTGTGTGTCTGATGGTTGGAAGCTCTATTCTACAAAGAAACATGGTGTCCATCAGCAAATAGCGCAAATGACAAGTATCCCTCCACCCAGAGAAACTCCTTAAAAATGACTATTTATAAATTGTCTCACACCATCCACTGTCACACGTCACAGGTTAGAGGAAGAGATATAAATTGTCGACGAAAATAATCCATAACCAATCTGTAAATGAAAATTTGGGTGAGTTTATTCTGAGCTGAAATCTGAGGACCATGGCCCGGGGCCTTTCTTCCCGAAGGAAGAAAGGGCACCAAAGAAATGAGGTGTACAGAATGGTTATATACCCCCAAAGAGGGTGCTTTACATATGATTGAAATGTCCCTCCCACAGTAGTCACAAGATTGCCCTGTCTGCACAGCGCTTGATGGACACAGCAGGTAGTGGGTCTGCTATCTTCGTGGGTGTAGCAGGAGGCAAGTCTATTGTCTCGAGCTGGGTGGTCACAGGTGAGTGCAGCAATCAGTTTCTAGCCTAAGGAAAGATGCTTAATCCTTAAGGAGACACCAACGTTGGGAGGGGGAGGGAAGTTGCACCTTTATCTCAAGGGCCTTTTGCTCTTGCCATAGGGAATCTCTAAAGCAGATATACAGTGCATGCTCAACGGCCTCAGTCAGGCCCTTTTGGAAAGACAAGGTCAGGCCAAATTAGGTTTACACCAAAATGGCTTCCTCATATATTCCAATATATCCTATTACTTGCCATTTTTATTTGACAAAATGAAATCCAAACCTGCTCTGTGATGGAAATCCTTACATCTCGTGTGAGTGGGCTGATAGTAACAGTGGAAAGGAAATAGGTACAGTTTAAAATGATCCTGGAGGTAGGCAGCTATTTTCATAACAATATGAGAAAAATATGCCGCTGTGTATTATGATACTTACCACTGTAGATACTGAAAGCCATCCTTACATTTTCCTTACCAAGAGTTCCATCTCAACATAGAGGGGAATAATTTCCGTAGAGATGAATCTATGAACTAATGAATGTATTTGTATTGAGAACCTGAGGTGTGCACTGTTCTAGCTACAGGGTCAGGGAGAGGGAAGACAAAGATGAGTAAGAGCCAAGCATCGCCTACGATGCTTATGAAATAACAGGGGAGCTAAGGTGGTACACAGACTCTAGAATGCAGTGTGGACTATAGTAAACACACATCATACTACCAGCAAAACCAGGACTTCAGAATAGAGTGGTTGGATGGTCCCTCCAAAGGGGAGCGTTGTTTTTTTTTTTCTATTTTGTTTTGTTTTAAAATTGGAATAGCATGAAAATCATTGTAAGCAGAGGGGAAAGAGTCAGTATGGAGAGGTGATAGGGAGGCAGTTAATCAGGTTATCGTGGTAGAAGCCTGAAGAGAGCCCAGGGGGCGTGGGGGTGGTTGGCCATGAGAAGGAAGAAGGATATTATTCAAAACATATAAAAGAAGGAGTTGGTGAGGCAGATTGGCGAGTGGTGAGGCAGAGACACTCTGAAGTGAAGGAAAAGGAAACCGAAGGAGCCCACTTGTCGCAGCTTGACCTTCTCAGTCTAGTGAGAAGCTCTGTTATTGACAGAGAGTAAACGAGTAGTGGTGGGCTTAGGGCTGTGGAAGGACTTGGAATAACCACTGTGAAGAATATAAGTCAACCAGGAATAATTAAAAGGGTTGTGGAGCATCACTGAGGTCCCAGCTGAATTTTAACAAAACTAATAAAAAAAAACTTTTTCATTGCTTTCTCTAGCAATATTGCAGCTAGGCACAGGGGCATAGAAATTCAGCTTGGCTAGAATGCATCTTTTGTAAAAATCAAATGATTCTTATATTGAAAGCTGCATATGAAAATTAGTCAAATAATCGCATCATTTCAGATTTCACTTTGTCAAATTCTTTCCCCTTAATTTGTGTAGTCAAATCAGGTAATTATATTTCCGTAAAGTGGGAACAACATCCTGGACTTCAAATGTTAACCAGCCAAGCAGTGCCATTCGAATTTCTAAAGTTTTTAGCTCATAGTTGCTTCTCATACATTATGTATTTTTAGGCTGGAAAAACTAACAACATCCTTTTTGGAAGACCAGGATCCAGAGAGCAGACTAGAGGTTGGCACCGATATGCGTAAAATTCATCACTGTTTCCATCATTTAAAGGTAAATTTAAGCATTTCCTCTAGTAGAAGTCGTTGTCTGCCATGTTCAAACTGCAGTAAAGCTTTCCTAGTTGACCACGTCCAGCTTCCCATGTCCAGAATGGTATGATCTTTGAACCAAGGCTGTGATTGTCTCTGAATTTTTTCAGAGGTTGTATTTTACTTGCCAATGAATTAGCTTAGACCATGGACTTCTAATTCTTTTGCCAGGAATCTCTACCTTCCATGTAGAATAGTTCCATCTTCAAAAACCATTGCTTTTCAAGGTATATAAAGAGAATTGTCCTCATTTTTTTTATAGCAGTTCAGTTTTGATTTATCCATATGAATCCTCAATTTTTCTCTGCCTTAGGTTTCACCTCTCCTGATGATGCAGTGGAAGTATCGTTAACCTCACTTGTCATTTGGTGTACTTCTTTAAGATAATAAACATTTGTTGTGAGTCTACTAGGGGCCAGGCATAGGGAAGGCAAAGTTGCATAAGTAAGCCATGGAGAAGACAGATATGTAAAGAATAATTATAATATATGATAAGTGCTATTTTTTAAAGTGTGAATTAAGTGGTATAGGGTTATGGAGAAAGGGAAAGAAATTCAAGAGGAGATCATGCTTGAGCAGAAATTTCTCAATTTAAGGAAGAAGAGATCGGATAGCAGAGAGGGGAATGATGAACTAGGAGGAAAAGAGGACAGGTAGGAGGGGAAGACACAGCAAACAAAGGCAACTACCTTACAAAGACCAGGAGGCAGGAGAGGACACGCATGCCTGATCTGTGCAAGGAATTGTTGAAGGTGAAAAGAGTCAAAAAGACAAAAGAAATTTGGAATAGAGGTATGGATGCTAAGCTCTCGTTTCATCTTACAGAAGCTGCTGAATGACAAGAAGATCCATGGAAAGAGCACAGTCTCCTCTGAAATCAAAGAGCAAGACTGCCAAGAACCATTGAAAGAGGAAGAATATAAAAAGCTACGAGATCTTCTACAGCAGAGAGATAATGAAATCAGTATCCTTTCTGAAGTGAATAGAAACTCTCCCCCTAATGCTTGAACCAGGAAGTGGGAACCCTTAGATGTCTTCCCCTGGCCACACCTCCTAGCTCCCCACCCTGCTTCCAGTTCACATCTCTTCTTTCCATTAGAAGTAAAACGTCCCCTCAACCAACAAAATGGAGCAACTAGTGAAACATAGAGTTGCTATAAAAGGAAAAAACTTACCTTGTTTTTAACCAAATATAGTTACTATTGTGAGGAATATTTCAATTTATTGAAAAGTATGGGCTTTTCTTTATACCATCTCTTAACATTAAATTTATTTATTTTATTTTTATTTTTTTACGACTCTGCAGTGCTCTTTCTGTTTTAGTCCAGAACCAGTGAGTTAGCTGGTTATCTTTAGCTAGCTGACCGGACACCAGGCTGACCACAGCCTCACCACGGCCCAGAATCTGTGGTTGGTGTGTGGGTGAAACTCAAATGATGGCTGAAAAATGACAAATGGTATTTAGCTTATGAAGAGCAGAGATTGATTTAAATGTAACTTTTTATTTAAAAGCCAGATCTACCGCTTTGGGTTCCACAGACCAACGTTCCCAAATTTGGAAGTGAGTAAAGATATGTGCTCAAGATAGAATTCGTATTGGCTCTAGAAAGCAGCGTAAGGCAGTGTATTTTGGGCACTGAAAGCAGTGGCAGCTCATGGGAGCTATGCCCGCCTTACAGACTAGGTGGTTACTTCTAGAGAGCTTCTGTTGGGTGGGTTAGACCTCAGGTCTCCCCACTATTTCTTCAGTATTGTTTCTTATTTTATCTTTCAAGCGTCTTGTAAAAGATTTGACATTTTCATTACATTGGCAGAATTTAAACATTCGCAACAAATTATTTTGGTCCATTCTTTATGAACAGATATTTCTTTTTCATGTCTTAAAAATTACTGAGAGGCATTTTAGCTTCAGCTAGTGTGCAAAAGCATAAAAATAACCTCCATGAAGGAAATCCAATATAAAGACGTAAACCAAATACGAGGTAGGCACGCTGCCTGATTAACTTCGGTCTCTAATTTGAGTTGAGGATTAGCAGACCCCATATGTCTGATTGGAGTGAGTTTAGCTGCTTTATTATCCAGCCAGTAACAGTAGGTTCAACTGTGAATTATCCTCCCACACCAGCCCTTGTCTCTGAGCGCTGCCCGCAAGTGTTGTCACCCTCGCATTCCTTTTCCTCTCTCTTACCCCATCCATCTCCAGGGACGGTCCCAGCCTAGACCTCAGTCCTGGCCCCGGCCCCTGTCTGAGCTCTGCTTCTTTTCCTGGCCTTCTTCCTAGCTTAGGATCTTCTCCCCTAAATACTCCTACCAACTTCTTAATCCCCTTCTGGGCTCATGACCGTCTGTGCGTACAGGAGGGATGAAAGGAGATATGACAGAGAGGGAACAGTCTAGGCTTGTTCATTATGTTTATTTAAAAAAAGAGAGGGAGACATACATCATCTCCCTGCTTCACTGGTAAATCCAGGTACCTCTGTTCATGTGGGGCCACACTAGATTCCTTACTGACTGTGAGGAGCTCGAGCAGGGTCTCGTCCTTTGGAGACTCATATTCAAAATGATGGTGCGTAGGGGCCATAGTGAAAAGAACACTGAACTTCAAGTTCATACCAGGATTGAAATCCTAGCTCTTCATTCATTAGCTCTACAACTGCTCAATGGAGCTCTTTCCTACTTGTCAGGAGGAGGAACGTGAGATCTGCTCTGCCAGCCTCACAGGGCTGAGCAAAGACAGTGAGACAATGGACTGGAAAGTGCTTTGACCGGTATAGGGCGTTAGACAGGGGAAGACAGGACTCTGAGGATAATGGGGTAACTCAGGAGAAGGAAAAATTGCAGCTAAGATTTACTCATCACAAAGTTTACCCTTATCAAGGGCTAATGGCCAAGAAAGGCTCTTGAAATTTCATAATTTCTCAGTCGGGTTGGATATTTTCATATCTTTTTTGATAGAACCCAGAAGGCTGAGACTATGACAGGAGGAATGAGAAAGATATGGCTCGTAGGGGAAAAAAGTGATAATACTTGAGCTCAACAAAAGACGGTAATGCAACCAAGATGACAGTGAACAACACTGAATGTTCTTCTTGGAAAGGGAGTGAAAACGGTGTTGTTTCAGTGACATTATTGTTTTGAATGAAGTTCAGATACCCCTTCACAAAGTATATAACAGGGTGTCACTTAGCACCCCACACAGCAAAGGCCCAAGTTAAATGGAATGGAAAGGGGAAGAAGAGAAAGGAAAGGTGAGAAGAAGGAAGGCAGCAGAGAAGATGAATTTGTACTGTGATCTTTGTGAGATGCAATCAGAACACATCATTTCTCTGATTGAAGTCTTCCAGGGCTTTCCCGTTATACTTAGAATAAAATTCAAACTCCCCGCTTGATCTTGCCCCTGCCTAGCCCTCTCACTTCATTTCTCATGCCTCTGTCCCTTGTGTTAGGCTTCAGTCACAGTGACCTTTTTGTTGTTCTTCTGACACAGGGTTTCTCAATCTCAGCATCACTGACATTTGGGCTGTGTAATTCTTTGTCGTGGGGGCTGTCCTGTGCACTGTAGGATGTTTAGTGGCATCTCTGGACTCTACCCACTAGATGCCAGTAAGGCGCATACCCCCCACTCCAGTATGACAATGAAAAATATCTCCAGATATGGCCAAATGTCCTATGGGTGGTAAAAGAGCCCCTGTTTGGGAACCACTGCCAAGCCAGTTTCTCCTTAGAGTTTTAGCACTAGCCATTTCCTCTGCTTAGGTACTCTTCCTCTGTCTGGTTCTTCTTGTCCTTCAGATCTTGGCTTAAATATCACTCTTAGAAAAGCCTTTCTTGAGGCTTGAGCCTTTCTTGCATACCCAATGTAGAGTAGCCACACAGGCCCTCTTGATCTTTTTAAAGTAAGGTATCTGGCACTTTTACTTTCTAATGTGTGTGTGTGTGTGTAAGAGAGAGAAAGAGAGAGAGATTTGTCTTTCTCCAGTAGGACATCAGCTTATGAGAGTAAGAACTGATCTGCCTGTTCACTGCTCTATCCCTGTGCCTAGAATAGTGCCTGGCACATAGTCTAAGCTCCAATAAATATCACTGAATCAGTGAACAGAAGGAAGTTGCCATTGTGGTGTATGAACCAATGAAAGTGTATGATGATGTTGATAATCAATTTCCTACAAGGAGGAGTAGAAGCTCTGGGTAGAGCCCTATTTTTTCTGTCAGACCAATGCCTAGACACTACAGAACTTGTGAACTCCTTTAGTAAATTCAAGATTTTTTGAGGCAAAAAATGGAAGCCACATCAGGGATTGTGAGAGAAAAATTGATTGTGCTTCCAGAAATCACCAAAAAGTTGGAGTCAAAGCTGTGGAGGAAGATGGAGGTCAAATGATTTCCATGTTACTAGCCCAAGAAAGAGTGTAGCTGGGTGCTTCCCCTCCTTTCTGAGCAGCAGTCTTCTCTCCCACACCATCTTCATATTTCCTCAGACTCCTATTTTAATGAAGGCACTTCTAGGCATGGTGAAGGCCTTAAATTCATTTTGCTGCGTATGCAGGTAGAGTTCTGAGATTCTCAAGAGGGATTATAGTCTTTTCTCTTAGTGATGGCAGAATCCCTTAGCATTCTCAGCATCTTGCACCCAAAAGAACAGTGAAGTAGGGTAGAATGGAGTGATTTTCTCACTCATCCTCAGTGTTCTAGCATCCCTAAATGGCCTGCCAAAAGGGCATTTTAAAATGATACATCTATACCAATAATTCACCTCTCTTCAGTTCCATTTGTGGCCAAAAATTAGAAACATTGTTTAAAAAGTGACTTCAAATCCCATTCGGATGTACACTAACAAACACATGTGTTGGACACAAACTACTCTGGCCACCAGACTGAGTTGGCGCATCTGCCAGCTGGGCGGGTTCTGGAGTCCTCCCTCTGCCCTCCTCCTGCTGCCTCCTGAGTGGCTTCCTGGATCAAAGTCTTATTTACTCACAGATATATACATAGCTCCTTTGTTTATCACCACTCAGTGTTTATTTTACTTTTTATAAACCCTTTCATAAAAATTTTGTCTTAACTGGTTATAACTAAGAACATTTTAAAAACCGTTGGGTTTACTCATTTTTCACATAATGGTGCCATATTGAAAGACCAGTAGCCTCCTAAACTGCCCATAACTATATCATTGACTTCAGGAAGTTGAAGTCCTCCTTCAGTCAGTCTTCACCATGTGACAAATAGCAAATGTTATTGGGACTATTAATCTCATTCAAAACATTAGTGTTTTGATCATTATAATCTATCATGAGTCACTAAGTCCTTAAGTCAAGTTTCAGATATTCTGGTCAATATGTTAAAGAAGGAAAAGAAGAAAGCTCAAGACGCTCTCCACCTGTCTAGCATGAACAGAAATGAATTTAGACACTCACAGAGCTCCCCCTTCCCAGCCGGGAACCCAGAAGGTCCAAGGATGTCGCTCTCCTCGGCTCCCACACAGGCTCAGGACGTCAGCGCTTTGGGGTGTAGGTCCAGTTTGCTCCACAGAAAAACAGGTCAGTTATATTTATTACTAAATATAAATTACGTAACCTTAAATAGAAACATAGACATCATAAATTATAAATCTACATAAAAAGTAAACAAACATATACGATTATAATTTTATTATTATATTCATCATCATCATCATCCTTATTGTTTTTATCATTACTAACATTTCTTGAGGTTTTGTAGTTGTAGCAGCAGCACCTGCTCCTGCAGCAGCGGTAACAAAAAACCCCAAGTAAAGTTTATCCATCCTCAAAAAAAAAATTCCAGTATTCTTCATTCTCCATAATAGAATTTAGTATAGCATCCTTTAGTTTAAAATATTCCAGGATAAAGGCTCTAATGACTTATTTGTTAGAATTATTTATTATAACTATCAAATCCCTTAAGTTTAATACCAGTTTTCAAATTGGTGACTGAACTGAAAAAACAAGTATGAATTGTCACAGAGTTCAGAGACAGAAATGGATGGGTCCAGGGCAACAGTAGAAAAGTTAACTTTAGAGAAAGGAACATTATAGGAGGTACATACAGGAGGGAAAGAGTAAGGACAGATGTTGCATGACTGACGTGATGACACAATGTTTATTTCTGAATCTAAATGAGCTCTCCGCAGCAGAATAATTTAAAAATATATCACACTCTGACTTAAAGGACAATAAACAAACAGTTTTGTCGGATGATAGTATTTGACAGGTTTGGACCAATTCAGAGGCACCGTCCCCATTTGTAGCTTGTGACAAGCGTGTCAGTACCACAACTGCAGAACCGTGCTGGAAGCCCAGGTTGGTTTGTGTACATTTCTCGTTCTATTAGACCAGCAGACGGTGATGTGTAGGTATGTGATGGGTGCCTTTCTCTTGAAGACGTTGAGGAATCTGAAGTATGGAATGTACCAGAACAAAGGGGTGAAGAGCTTCCCTTTTTGGCAACATAGGTTGAAATTTTCTGTATAAACGTATGTTGGAATGGACAACCTGACATGCATTGTTTTCTAAAGGATTCAGCTTGGGTATAATTAAGGAGTATGGTGCTCACTAAGAAGGACACTTTTTAGTTAATAAAGAAAAGATTGAGAAGCCTGGAAGTATATTTTGTGATGGTATATCCCTTTATCTCTTTATTCCAAATCTCCTTGCTTTGAATATTTCTTTAGCAACACAGCACAGAAGGATAAATTTAAAATCCCAGGAAACCAAAAATGCTGCTTTTACCATTTATCATGGTGGCAGTAGACAGGGAAAAGCAACTGTTCCTCTCTGTGATTGTTTTCCATACAGCATTCCTATACTCTATTATGGGCAACAGCTGGTTGGAAAAAAGATGCTCTCTGGATTGGTGACTTCACTAGTTCAACCATCAATTTATTCATTCCTTCATTCATTCAACATATGTTTATTGGTACACACTTCGTTCTAGCTACTGTGCTAATTATTTTTATTACGGCTAAAGCTTACATAGCCTTTTTATGTGCCAGGTATTCTTCAGAGTTCACTGTTTGAATTAACTCATCTAATCCTTATCCTAAAGTTCTTGCATTACCCCTATATTACAGATGAGGACATGCATGGACAAACACAGTCTCTGACCTCAGAGCACTTACAGACTTACAGAGAAGAGAGCCTTGAACAATTAATTTAAGACGTATACCTCTGTATGACTAACGGAGCACATGCGGGGGAACCCTACCTCAATGTTAAGACCCAAAAGATCCAAAAAGGGGTATGGGGGTGGGAGTGTGGCTGGAAGGAACATTGCAAGCAGAAGGAATCACTTCCAAGGCCTCTGTGGTGGAAAGGAGGCTTTTAGGAAGTGAAAATGCCAGGTATGGTTGGGATCTGAGGAGTGAGAGACTGAGAAGACGGGGTGAGTGACATGTGCAGAACAGACTGGCAGAGGACACAAAGACTGAATGACCTGTTAGGGGGCCCTTGTAGTCCAGTAGTCCAAGCCAAAGGATGGGGCTGATGAGAGAGAGGTGGGGGGATCAGAAGCACTCGAGGAGGTAGAGTGAACTGGGCTTGGTGACTAATTGGATATGTGGGGTAAGAATGAGGATTGGTCCCCAGGTCTCTGGGTGGCTGGTGAGGCTCTTTATGGAGGTAAGGAATGGTGCCTCCCCTGGCCCTGCAACAGTTGGCATCGTTGGCTCTAGACAACACAGCATGGGCATCTCTGCTGATATGAAAGGCCATAATCAGTACCCATGTTAGAACCTCACGCTCACGGTGGAAGGAACTCTGTTTACTGACCTTTTCCAAAGACACGCACGTTGTGCCATGCAGAAATGGCCTCAGATATCACTGCCCAGCCCCCTGCTGTGTGCCAGGCCTTTTCTAGTTCTATTTTTTCTTGCCCACACCAGCTCCCTTCTCATAATTCTTCTTTCCCACAGCATCTCATAATCTCTCTCCCAACTCATAATTACAGTCAACTTTTTCAGTAACTCCTTTTTGCTTGATATTGCTATCAAGACAGGCTATAGTTTTGTTTGGAGGATGAATTAAGTTCACTTGAATAAAAAAAAAAAATCCCTGAAAAAATAATGGAAATTGTTTGCAAAGTCCAAGTACAAATGAGGTAAAAGAGTTTTGGAGAAAAGCCTTATAGTTGAAAGGGTTTTTGAGTTAACTGGCATTGGATATAGTTCTAGCAATAACTTTAAATTGGAGCAGGCTCACAAATGGATTGATAATGATCTAGCCATTTGGAGGAAGGATTGATGGGGGATTGATTTTATTTTTTGGCAAAAGTACAGATAGGATGCACATTGCTGTGGATGAAGCAATGCTGCGAAGCAACAGGTAATGGGATAGTTTGCTACGACATTTAAGATCCCAGGAGCCGATTAGACTTTTATTATTACATTATTTTATATATAAGAGGCTTGTGTAAACTAAACCCAATACAAAAGATTAATACGCCTGTTGTTTTGAAAGCATTACTGCCTTATGCAAGTGTTGTCAATTTCTATTAACCCTCCCTTGGGCTGTTTTTAATGCAGAAGGCACATAAATTTGACTATTTTCAGCTCAAACTGTTGTGAAACTGTCTCCCTTTTGATGACTCCCCCTTCTTCCATTCACCCCCACTTTATGCTGCAAATGACTCCTTTCAAATTTCTTGTGTTAAAAGAAAATGAAACCAAATTCGTGGTTCACGAGAGAGTCCCGCACAGCCATCGCATAAGCAGCCTGCCAAAAGGGAGGAAGCTTAGGGGCTGGGGGGCTTTTTGTTGTTGTTTTGGCGGTTAAATGTCTGTTTTGGCTTCACTGAAATAATGAGAGGGATTGTTCAGCTCCACAGTTTGAAAAGAGTCATATTGTTCTCTTTAAAATAGCAGGAGTTTTATAGTTTGGGTTTTTTGGGTTTTTTCTGTTTTAGTTCTCTGACTGCACATTCCAAATAGTCACCTGGAACTAGTCAGTATTCCAAAAGCCCCTGATGACTCACACATCCTTTAACTGTTTGAGATGCTAACAGAATCCTCTCAACACAGGTGATGTCCCTGGCATTTTAAAAGGTGAATTGAAAGCCAAATCCACAGCCTGGAGGCTCCAGGCTCTTTTCTCTTACTCACTGGGTGAGAATTTGTTGAATCTCCAGTCTGTACATGGAAGGGCTCAGGGTCCATGTTGTAGGGAGCACTGAGGTGAACTGAGAAATGCTCTTCAGCTCTGGGAGCTTACATTTAAATAGTGGGGGCTGGCTTGGTACCCAAAGAGCAGAGAATAACAAGTGCTATAAGCAGGAGCTAGAAGAAATGCTATGGGAATTCAAAGGAGATGGGAAGAATTTTAATAAGTAGATCAGGAAAAGCATTACAGAGCAAGTGACATGGAAATTAGGTCTCAAAGGATTGGTAGAATCTGGATATTCAAAGATGGAGAGAAGAACATTCTATAACATTCCAGGTTTAAAGAATAATATTAGCAATGGCTTGGAAACAGAAAAGCAAGGGAAAAAATATGTAGAGTTGGTAAGGGTGCTTGTTTATCTGGGGCATTGGAGATTGTTAAAAAACAATTCAATGAGTAAATTTTAAAGATCTTAATGGCTTTATTCAACAATTCATGAATCAGGCAGCATCCAATCTAGCAGAGAGAAAGGAGTTCTGAGGAGGTGTACAAAATGCAAGACTTTTATAGGCATAAGGGAGGGGGACAAGGAAGTTCTACTAGCAAAAAGTGGATTGGTTGTGGCAAGGTCACTTTCCTCTAGAGGACGGCAGAGGTCTGTCAGGCAGATTACCTCACTAGTGCTGATCAGGTGATTCTTGAATGACTGGTTTAAGATTCCATTTCTGGAAGAGCCAAAACTGTAATTAAGTCAAGTCTCAGTTTGGTGATGTGGGGCTTAGCATAACTGACTCCATTTTGGGCCTGTTGTCTTGTCTTTAACAAGATGTACAGGAAGTCAGAAGAAATCAGGTTAGAAAATGACTAGGAAATTGTTAGGATGGTTGCTTCTGGGAGAAGGAGTAGAGGAATAGATGGAAACGTCCCCTTTTAACTTCATATGCTTTCATGCTGTTTTAATTTCTTGCGTTTCTTTATTGAATGAGTAGGGTCATGTTATGAAAACACTTGAATGCCAAGCCAGGGAATTTTCTTCATTTAGTTGCAAGGGAACCACCAAAGCAGAGCAGGCATGGTGATAGTTGAGCTCTGGGGAGGTATTTCTGGAAGACACCTCTAGGGTATATTGGAGATGAGGCTCTTGGACGCTCGAGCAAATGGTTTAGGCGATAGCATGATAGCCTGAGGTGGGAGTAATGGAAACAGAGAAGAGGCAAGGACCATGAAGAGAGATTATGCAGGAAGCCCACAATAATTGTTCATGGCATAAAGGACAACTCTGTTTCTTCTCCTGCTTCTCAGTTTTCTAAGTTCTCCTGACACCGAGGATGCAGCTACATGCACACACAAGAGAACAGGGGAGCTGGCACTTCACTGTGATCTGCTTCAAACTTTAAGTCAGTTCCTTGAGTTTGCTTTACTGTGGC